GTTAGAGATCCGTACAGGTTTTGTGAGCCATTTTTCTTGTTGCTATGACCGAATATCTGATAGAAGCACTTTTAAAACTTTAATCTGCCTGGCAGGAGAGATAGAAGGTGTCACATCACCAGGGAAGGGAAACATACCCTAAGAACATTGACTCGGTGATGGCTTTCTTCAATGAGCCCCCACCTTTCAAAAATCTCTCAAACATGCTATCATATTATGAACTCATCCCAGGATTAATCCATTCTTTAGGTCAAAACCCTCATGGCTCAACAGTCTCTGTCTTAGGCACTGCCGCCGTTGCACTATATTGATCTCCTAGGCATTTATTAACCTGTTCAAGTTGTCAATAAAGATTGTTACACGTGTTACAGGAGCATTGGGGAAAGGCACCCTACTCCTGTATTGAGGTGTTTGTTTGACAGGCTTCCCAGAGAGGCTTTGGGTGCTGTAATGGTATACTTCATCAGAGCGATGATCTTAAACATCCCAGCGGCAACAGGAATCCTCATGGTGCTAGAGTGGGCAAGGGAGCCCCAACATAGCTGCTGTGACCTCAGAAAAGGGGGCTGATTCCTGGGTTGTTTTCATTTCATGGTCCTGGGATGAAGCGATGCCTTTCTTGGTTTGGTTACTTTGAGGAGTAGTGGAATGTAGAACATAAACGATGGTAGAACTACATAACAACTCCCCAGACTTTCTTCTGAAGAAAGTAGCACATGATGCTGGAGAGATGGCTCAGCAGTTAAGAACACTGGGTGCTCTTTCAGAGGAGCCGGGTTCGGTTCTCAGTCCTCACAACTGTCTATATAACTCCAGTTTCAAGGGAAATGACTCTCTCTTCTGGCTTCTGTAGATACCAGGCAAAACCATGCAGATAAAACATCCATACACATAGAATAAAAAATTAAAGAGGCATCATCTCTTTTAGCCATATTAGTTTGTTATTAAGTGGCTAGCGCCATGTAGAAGAATGAAACTAGCTTCCCATCTCCCACCAGGCACAAAATTCAGTTCCGAATGTGTCAAAGACCTTAATGTAAAACCCGAAACTCTGAAAATGCTAGAGGAGAACCCAGGAAAATTATTTCAAGAGATAGGAATGGGCAAGAACTTTCTGAAGAAGACTCCATTTTAAGAAATAATCCCATGGATTAGCAAACAGGAGAACAGGAGTGCAAGGGAGAAGTCTCTGGGCAGCAAAGGAACAGTCCACAGAGCGAAGGGACTCCCTACAGAATGGGAGAGAACATTGCCAACTATACATTTAACAGAGGATTGCTCTTTAGATAGCTAAATCCATAAACAGTTCTGAAAATCAAACACTGCAATAAATGTGTTAATGAAGTGCCTGGAAAGCTCTTGAAGGAAGAAATACAAGTGGCCGAATAAAAGTCTGAGAAAGTATTCAGCCTCCTTAGCTACCAGGGAAATGCAAATTAAACTTTTGGAAAGTCTGTCTCACTGCTGGACTGACTGTCCTCAATACAACACATAACACACGTAGGTGGGGGTGGAAAAAGATGACCCCCCCGCATCTCTCTCTCTCTTAATCTCTCTCTTAATCTCTCTCTCTCTCTTTCTCTCTTTCTGTGTGTAGCAAATGCAGGAAGCCAGAGATAATTTGGGGTGTCATTCCTCTGGAGCCGTCTATGTTTTTTGTGAGATAGGGTCTCTCAGTGGCCTACAGTTTGTCAAGTAGGCTGACCGGGCAGCCAGCCCTGGGGATCTACCTGCCTTTGCCTCCCAGTGCTGCAATACAACTGCACATAACATTGTATCTATGTCTGTTGTAGGGAGGAACACTCACACACAGTTGATGGGAATAGTACACCCACTAGGAAAGTCAATGTGGTTAATTCTCAAGAAAAATCTATAAATGTCGCTATCATATGGTCCAGCTGTACCAGTCCTTGGTGCACACCGGAAAGAATCTAAATTGGCAGACCCCAGAGATACTTGCACCGGCTTGGTTATTACTGCTGATAGCGATAGCTCTGAATAGCACAACATCTAGGAAGTGGACCAGACTTGATGTCCTCCAACAAATAAATGGATCGAGAAAACGCACACACACATAACGGAATTTCAGTCAGCTACAAGGAAGAATGAAATTATGACACCTGCAGGAAAAATGAGACATGGACAAAGTTAGAGCTCATTATTTTACACCGCATAAGCCAGACTCAGAAAGATAAACATTTTTTCTTATACGTGAAATGCAGATCTAAATTTATATATGCATGCGCACACATACAGGCATACATAAATACACAGGACCTGAAAGTACAAAGGGGCATATTAGGGTCAGGAAGAGGCTCAAGGGCAAGGAGCAGGGGGCAGCAGGGCCTCTAGTGGGATATATGTGGCATGGACGCAGAAGGAGAGACTGCTTGGGAAGTGGAAGAGGACCATCAAGAGATGAGGGTAGGTAGTCAAGGATGAGAAGGGTCGGTTAGGGGGGTGTGAAAACACAGAAGCTCTGAGAAGCAATCCTGCTTTCTCTGCTCTCTGACCTCCAGTGGAGATTGTCTCTTTCAGAGATCTCTGTTTATATCAAAGGACAATTAGTTATACAGATATGGTTTGACCTCACCTCAGTGCAAACACTGTGTGGTCAAATAATGGCAATTTAAACTCTAATATGATATTAGCTTAAGAGAGACCCCAAGTCGTCAGGAGACACTCCTGTTCATAATGCAAAGCATAGATATTTTTAGGTTCTGACACTGGGTTTGGTAGTCCTTGTTCTATTTTGTCTGTTCAAGAATTGTCCTGGTGGCAGAACTTTATAATATCTAGAACTAGGAACGCCATCTTTGGTGGTAACACAGCAGGGGATCCGTGGAGAGGTCTGAAAGTGTTGATAATTAGCAGTGTGTGAAGTACACAGTCTCAAAGCAATTAAGAATGGTAATTGAATATCTGGTTGCGGAGCAGACCGGCTCATATGCAGCGGGAGGTGCTGTTTGTTTGCTTGCAGGAACTACATTATACACAAGAGGTTGAACATCCGGAAAGAACAAATACGGGCCAAGCAAATGCTGGTCTCACAAGCAGCCACATTTTTGAGTAGCATTGCCTTGTTGCTGTATGTGACTCTATTAGCGGCAAACTTTAGTATCCAACAATGCAAACTCTCAGCCTATCTCTTGTAAACATGGCACACTATTTACTCGTGAAAACTCAGCTGTCAAGGAGAGCCAGCTGTCGTTTGATTTGGTAAACACTTCCGTGTTCATGTACTTTAAATGCAATTAGTGGTCACACAACGGGCCACAGTGTCACATCTATGCTTATTTGGGAGGCACGGGGGACTACTAATGAGGAGTTCAGGGTGACCTAGGGATTTTATTTGAGAGTCCTTGTATAGACTTCGCATGAACTTCATAAGCTTTGGCATTTTGATGAATGTGAAAATACATGCAAGAAACTCAAAACAAATCCAGCCTTGTGAGGAGGAGTTTCGGCAACGTGAGAAAGAAATGCAAATTTCCTTCTAGAAGAGCGTCAGTAGTAACTGGCAATGCTTTCGCCAGTGCTTATGGAAGAGAGGGGTGCTGCAGCCTGCCTGGGGCTTATTAAGGTAGAAAATACAATACCACTAAATATGTGGGGAGGCCGAGAGCACAGGGAGAATTTGGGGTCTGATTATTTCTGTCCTCTGGCTGGGGAAGCCAGTTGTACAGCCTTTGTGCTAAGGAAAAGAGATGACATGTTTGAAACCCACAGATTAGGTCAGTGCTGAAGCTGGTCAGCACTTTTCACTTCCCAGAAAGTGGTTCAGTAGGCCAGCTCCTGATTGCCTCTCCTTAGACTCCATCTGCTTTCTGAAGATGTATGTAACAGATGGCAATGTATTTTTTTTTTTTTTTAAAGTTAAGGTTCCGGCAGGCTGTGAGGGATAGGAACCCAGCACCTTAAAGTTCCCCAATTAATCACCCCCATCCTGTTTGAGGAACTGGCAAGCAAAAAGATGTTATGATCTAGGAAGCACAGTCCATTAATCTGCTCGCAGATAATGGAGTGTGCACAGGGTATAGAAAAGGTAAATTGTACTCCAGGTCTGAAGCCCAACTTATTATGTAAATATATCTCCTAAGATGTGGGAAAAGGAGCTTAGGGGTTACTGAACGGGGCGGGAACCCAGGGCTGAAGCATTAGCCTAGGGTTGGGAAACACACGTTTCAGAGGTAACCGCTTGACCTCTTTGGATCAGGGAAAGTTCCTGTTTGTTTCGTAATGTGCGCATTTCATTATTTGCACGATTTCACGAAGCGCTTGGGAGCTGTGTATGCAGTAAGGTGAGTCAGAAGCAGTTCCCCAGACTTAGAAAGTGGAACCAAACTCGCTACAATGTCTTTGAAATACATTTAGTAAAAATCTTCCAAACTATACCTACTTCTTGATGCTAAATTTTCCTTTCTTTCTTTTTTTTTTTTCTTTCTTCCAGAAAATGTCTGTAGGAGTTTCTTGGGGAAAACAATTCTATACTCGTTTTCACTGTGCTCTAAGGACGAGTTAAAAAGTAAAACTAGCTCCAGGACAGCTCCCCAGGCCGGTGGTGGTGCGGTGCGATCCCAGTGTTTGCAAACAGGAGGCCTGTGCAGTTCAAGGTCAATCCTTTCTCCACAGGGAGGAGTTTGAAGCCAGACTGTTTTCCTTGATACCCTGTCTCACAAAACCAAGTCCCAACAAAACTTACGGGGTAAAAGATGGAGAATAAACCATCTGCCCAATCTTGTTGAGTTCGCCGTCTTCAAACCCCCTCCCAAAGCAAGGCCACCCATCCACTCTTTTTAGGGAACGGCCTGGAGCAAGGGAAGCGCCCGGGGTCAGGCTGGTCCTGGGGTCCCGCGGCTTCTGGAAGGGCTACTAGGGCTTGGGTGCAGCAGGCTTCCTGGGGAGCAGCAGCCCCAGCTCCTGGCTGCTCTCTTCTGTGTTCGTGTGTTGGGGGTGTAAGTCGGAGGCGGGTCCTCGGACCAGACACGCCCCCACCGGCCTTAAAACGCGCGAGCCCGTGTCTGGACTCGCCGCCGCTCGTGCTCGCGGGGACTGCCACGCTCCGCGCGGCCCCCAGCCCCGCGTCGATCGCACCTGCGTTGCACAGCTGCCCATGGCTGACCTGAGTTTCATCGAGGATGCAGTCGCCTTCCCCGAGAAGGAGGAAGACGAGGAGGAGGAAGAGGAGGGCGTGGAGTGGGGTTACGAGGAAGGTAGGCTCGCGACTGGGCTGCAGTCGCGTCGCGGTCCCGCACCTTCCCCTCCCAGACTGCCTGACTGCGGCTCACACCTGCTGTGCCCGGGCAGCCCAGACCCCAGCAGACCTGAAACCCAGTTGCTTTCTAGTCTTGGGGAAGTACAACCAAATGCGTCCCGAATTGCAAGCTGGCTCAGTGCTCTCGGTGACTTTAAAAGCTGTTTCCTAAATCTCTCTCTGAAACCCCAGGGCTCCTAATTGCCATTAATGTCCATGTTTACTGTATACATGGGGTGTGGGGGGGTGTGCAAAGGAGTCCACAAATATATGTATGGGATACTGTGTTTGTTTTTTAAACAAGTGTTGCTCGTTGGCTTAACGGGGTTTCCGCTGTCTCTGTGCATGTTGAGCGAGGCGGATATTTTCTAAGTATTGCACATAATTGAACTGATAAGCAGAGTAAATTTCTGTGGTATTGTTTCTAATCACTTAAAGATGACTTAAGTTCCCTAAATCCCTAAATCAAGGCGTCTGTGTGCACAGATATAAACACAGTGAAGGACTTTGTGTGTTCTATTTAACAACAAATCACTCACGTATGAATGTAAAAATTCATACACATTTCTCTTATTTCATTTACATACAGATGGTGGCCATAGCTATGATGTCAAGGATTATGAGTTTTTATGTTATATTTTACTGTTATTAACTAAAAAAAAAAAAGCCTATTGTCAGTTTTTGTCATTTTCTCATCAGGTGTTGAGTGGGGCTTGGTGTTTCCGGATGCTAACGGGGAGTACCAGTCTCCTATCAACCTAAACTCTAGAGAAGCCAGGTACGATCCCACGCTGCTGGATGTCCGCCTGTCTCCGAATTACGTGGTCTGCCGAGACTGTGAAGTCACCAATGATGGGCACACCATTCAAGTTATCCTGAAGTCAAAATCAGGTATTTGGGGAAGCATATTTCTACGCTCTTGTAAGCAAGTGGGCAATCTCTGATTTAACTTATAGGTTTCAAAGGGGGCACCAATGCCCTTTCTAGTTTTCATAGTTCTTTACATTTTCTGGGAATTAAGAAATAGCTGTGAAAGGCTAAGGGGGAGAAGAGATGGCTATCTCAGGTGACCGTTCCCCCAAAGCTGTGCCTGGAGCTGCCTCTGTTGCTTGAGCAAACATTGACTGAACTGTGAGGAGAGCATGTTTATTTGAGTTTTTTTCTGCTGTGCATTTTGTTCTAAATTATCGATTAGCCAAAATCATTTAATCATAGTTCCTTGTTTTACTAGTTTGTGAAACCAAAGATCAGAATTAATTTTTTAATGTCGCCTATATTTAATATAAACTTTTCAAAGTGAGTTTCCCTTCCCTATTAATGACAGTTAATAGAGAATTTTAAGGACATCATTTTAAGGACAGTTAAGAGCGTCCTCTGAACTCAACCAGATACTTAAATGGAAACCAAGCTCTTTGTTCTACTTTTAACTCCCACCCCTTCTTCTTGAACCCAGTCAAAAGGAATCTGAAATGTTTTGTTAAAAAATTAAATTTCCAGGGAAATTGGTTTTTCAGCTTAAATGTAGGAGAGACGAAAGCAGATTAAAAAAATAAGCGTTAACATTGTGTTTTCCAAGGGGAGTAATGGCTATTTTCCTCCTCGGAAGAATCAGAGTGTGTTGGATGTTGAAGTGCTTCACAGACGGGCTGTGCTCGCATTAATTCCGAATTGATAGACTAGGTATTTTAAAGCATGAAACCTTCAGGTCTGTCATTAGACAACGAAGGTATGGATTCGTTCCTTTAACTCCTGTGTAAGAGCTTTATTCGGAACCCGTGAGAGAGAGCATGTATCTTTGAAGCTCTTGTGAGTTTAATCGAGGGGGGAACGGCTCCTGAAGGACCATCAGTCTTTTGTATGGAGTTAGTATGGTTTTTTTTTTTCACTAAGTTCACACACTGAACTTGGAGCCAAAATCAGAATGTTTCCGAGTTGTATACTTTACATTACTGTGGACTTTGTGTGCACCTCTGCCTGTGTCCTCCTCTGACCTCCACTCCGGAGTGATGGGCAGGAAGGGCTGTCTGTACTTCTGTCAGGATCCCTTTGTCCTCCACTCCCTTGGGGACGTCTCTCCATCATGTGTCCTGCCCTCTTTCTGTCACTGCCCTAATCTCTCCCTTTCAATATTTGGACAAATTTACAAGTTAATCAGTGCTGCGCATGGTGGCACACACCTTTAATCCCAGCACTCCGGAGACTGAGGAAGGTCGATCTCTGTGAATCCAGGCTAGCCTAATCTACATAGTGAACACTTACCAAAAAGAGAAAAGTAACCGAAAAAAAAAAGTCTTGATTAGTTTATTACCGTTCCCTGGGATATTTCAACTTCTTTAAATGCTGAACACTAGTATCTATTTAATGGAGTTTTTTCTTTATAAAAATAGACTGCAGACATACTTTGAATAGTTGGTTATTTCTACACATTCCCTACTTATAGCCACAACTTATCTCGTCCCATCTACAATTTCTGTTTTTCTCTAGTAACAACCACTTTGAACCTTTAAGAATTACTATCTTGTTTTTTGAAATTATAATATAATTACATCATTTTCCCTTCCTTTCCCCAAACCCTCACATATACCTTTTCTGGCTCTCTTTCAAACTCATGACCATTTTAAAATTAATTGTTGTCATATACGTGTATGTAAATGTGCGTACATATATATTCCTAAATATATAAACACAACTTGCTAGGTTTGTCTTACGTAGGTGCTTGTTTTCAAGGCTGAACCTTTTAAAATAGTTTCTCTTTTATTCTTAATACCACCTTTATGTTATTTGTTCTGATATTTAAGCTTTCTCCAGGCTCCCAGCTGTGGCAGAGGAGGCAGGTCTTATAAGCCTCTCTTGCCCTGGTTTTGCCCCATGTGTCTAAATTTTACTTATTAAAATTAAACTCAAAACATTATTGTTGTGACCTTGCACCTGCCATTTCTATTTTCTTTATGGAATATTTTCCCTCCTGAAGTTACTGTATTTTTGTTTACTTATTTTGAAAGTTACCTAACAGGAATTCACCTCTAATGCTGACAAATGATAGTGCTGTTTCAGGACATCAGAGGCACCAAGTCACCCTCCCTTCCTTCTTGGCCTTTCTGCTCCCCTGGGAGCTGTCCCTCCCTGTTCACACAGACGCTGAAAAGTCAAAACACACACTTTTTCAGTTTTTCTCTCACACTTTCAGTTTCCAAAAAATTGCTGCTGATGGTTTGAATTCATTTCCTTTGAATTTCACCGTTCAGTGTGTTATGAAAACGAGATCTTCCTTTGTTCTTTGCTGGAGTCTTCTTCCTGGATTCTTGTTTATTCTGGGCTCCTGCTGTCAATTCAGCCCTATCTTTTCCTCTTGGAGGTTCCTGTCGAACACCTAGTGACCCTGATCTGTGACGCTACTTAAGAATGACCCTAACATGCAGTCTAGAAGCTCCGTTCACAGTGGGAGAGGCTGCAGTCTGGTCACACGGTCCGTAATGGAAGCAGACACTGACCTGGTTGTGCGGGAGAGATAGCTCTGGAGGTTGGTTCGGCGCCCTCAGAAGGTACCTGCCTGTTGCTTCTGCTCTTCTGAGGGCACAGTGGGTGGGGAGAGCTGGCCCACAAGTGGATGTTTGCATTCTGGCTGTTGTTAACAGCCCAGAGAGTGCTACCATATGCTATGTTCCTACTCTCTGTCCATCTGCCAAGGTCCATAAAGACAGCTGTCTGATTATGGAGAGTGGGGTGCAGAGTGAACCGCTCTTTTCAGAGACCTTCATTTCCTGTGTGCAGTCTCCTTCTCTGTGCCTCCACCCACATCCAGGCACACCCAATGCCCACCAGTTCCGAGTCTGACCTGGTCTCTTTTTCTTTTTGGCTGCTATGATAACATGTGAGTTATAATAATAGGAGTGTCTTAGTTAGCATTTCTGTTGCCGTGAAGAGACCATGATCACAGCAACTCTTATAAAGGAAAACATTTAATTGGGGTGGCTTATAGTTCAGAGGTTCAGGCCATTACCATCATGGTGGCGCATGGCAGCATGCAGCCAGACATGGAGCTGGAGAGGTAGCTGAGGGTTCTTTATCTTGCACAGGCAACAGTAAACGGTCTATCTGACTGGGTGTAGAGAAGACCTCAAAGCTCACCCCTACAGGGACATACTTCCTCCAGCAAGGCCACACCTCTCACTAGTGCCACGACATTTGGGGGCCACTGTCTTTCAAACCACTAAAGGGAGTTTCAGTCTTCCAGTTCTAGAATCTGGGAAGTCTCCGCTTGGGGTGTGTGCAGATGGAGCACCCGAGGAGAACAGGTTCCACTGTGTAGACTGCACCTCATAGCGGTGTCCTCAGGCTGCAGAGGGTAAAGGGAGTGCACTTTTTATTCTCCAGGGCAAAATGCTCAGCACCTAAGCGTCTCTAGCACAACTGCAGTTGGAACTGGCTTCAGTAGGCCATGTCATGCTGCGGGCGTGCCTCCAGGGGGCATCTCTGCTGTTGCTTCTGTTTTACTAGATCAGAATTTCAGGCCAGCCAGCAGCCCCTTGGTTGCTTTGGCTTCTCTCTGTGCTTTGACATTCTCCGCTCGGCCATCCTGCCCTGGCACAGTCCCCTGTTTTGTGTCACGAGACTTGAGGAGGGAAGGAAGCCCCTGAGGAGGGACGTATTCCCTGATAACAGTGCGATGTCTTTTACATTTCATTCGTTTCTTTATTCATTTTTCTGGTTTTGTTTTGCCTTTGAGATAGGATCTCAGTAAGTTATTCAAGGCTGGCCTGAAAATTGCTGTGTGTTGGAGTGGGTTTTGAAGTCCTAGCAATCCTCCTGCCTCTATCTCTCACATGCTAGGATTGTAGCCATGGGTGCCATAACCTACTCACATGCTTTAAAAAGATTTGTTTTAATGATTATTTTGTTATTAATGTGTGTATGGTGTGTGCATGTGTGTTTGTGTGTGTGTTTTGAGGGTTCATGCATGGGGAGGTCAGAGGGCAGTTTTATTGCCGTACATCTCCTCCTTCCGCATTTAAAGGGGTTCTTGGGATCAGATTCAGGTGATCAGACTTTGCAGAACGCGCCTTTACCTAATGAATCATTTTGCTGACCCACAAGTTATCATTTTAAGGTAAAAAGCAATATTCATAGGATAAGTGCCGTGCTCTTGCTTTGGGGACTAAAGCTGACGTTTCATTACCGGCTGTTGTGATCTTAGCTGCTCTGAGGATGCCTGTGGCCATGGTCACTCTTTTCTTTTCTCACAAAGAATTACCCCAAATGATGACACCAGTTCTGTAGTATAATTTCAGTGTTTAAGGTGGTAGTGTTGTCTTGCTGACACAGTTCCTGTATATGATCACTGCCTCACAGTGAACTCGAGGCACTTCTTGAACTCAGCTCCTAGCCTCCCTACTGTGTGGCTTTGCTGAGACTTTCCCAGGCTGAGGACGCTGCTGACCTTCCCACACGCTCTCCCCAGTGGGGACTGTAAAAGCCTGTCAGATTCCAGCTCTGCTGGGCTTGAAGTGCGGTGTGTGGAAATGCTCTGGCTGGTCTCCCACAATTATCTGAGGGTTGTTTTAGTTTTGACTGTCTTCTCCCTGCCAGTTCTTTATTTCTTCCTTAGCGTGCTGGGCTGTCTAGCTTCCTCCTCAAGGCTCCTCTCACACAGACGCTATAGTGCAGAGCCTGTGTACCGCTTTGTTTTCAGTTGTTCCCATCAACAGACTGGCCCTCCGTTGCATATCCCTTGGCGGGTTGGGACAGCCTCCTCTTGAAGGACCCAGGGAAGGGAAGTCAGTCCTCTCTGAGGAACATATGCTTCACGTGAGCCATTCCAAAAGTCAGAAAATTCTACAACTTCCCCATTAGGTCTCGCTCAGAGTTCTGGACCAGAGAGCAAATGTCCCAGG